GACAAAGACAGCTCCAAATAAATTGTGTCTTCTACTCACATTATCTGTGGTTAATTTGTTTGATTCTCTGTCAGATTTTCCATACAGTACTGAATAGGTTGTTAGGAGAAGGTATGTGTGTTCCTGGTGCTTGTGAAGACAGAGTGCGTCCTTGGCTGATTTACAAAGATAAGAACACTTTGGACAGCCCTCCTCTGGTTTGAGCCTTGTAGTTGTGCCCTGGGGTATGTTCACCCAAGATGTTCCTTCCTAACAACAAAGCACATAGCCACCTTCCTCTCTATCCCGGCGTGGAATGCCAAGCATTCTGCTTTCGGTAAATACCATAGTCCTCCACAGTGAAACCTCCACCTGACCCTGTGACACCAACATGCTGACAGTGAATATCCACTGTCACTAGCAAATTGAGCCAAAGGAGGATAAATAGATTCCCTGTAAAAAAAAATGAATACTGTTTAACTATCTTAATTGATAAGAGGGAATTTTTTCCATCAAAAATTCTAGGCACTTGGAATTCAGTGAATTCTTGACAACAGTTGCATGTATTCAAGGTCACAGTGCACATGATACATTTTCATACTTTCCACAATAGCAAGTCCAGAACAGGGTTTAAATCATCACCCGGGGAATGGCCTCCATAGGTTTGTTCCAGGGCTTCTAGAAGTATTGGTTTCTGAAATTGCCTGTGTAAATCACAGGGATTTTTTTTTAACAGCTTCATTATTAGACAGAAACAGACCAGCTTTATGTAACCATTCTTCTCAATTTTGATGAAATAATTGGTGATGATTGGTTTAGAATGAGATTCTTAGAAGAATTCTCTGGCTGCTAGTAGAGGTAAGGACCCATTTCCATAAGTAATATTATTGGTATGCCTGTGTGTGTGTATCTTTGACTGCAGTTCAATCTTTGTGTTAAAAATAGAAAAACAAAACCCATAATTCAGAGTTTCTGTTCACTCAGCAAATGCTTTAGGAGATTGCTTATAGGTTAAATATAGTAACCTTTTCAATCATTAATTCTTCAAGGTCTTTTTCAAGATATCTCTGACGTCTGAAGACACAATAAATTTTAAAAACATGATTACCAACTGAATCTGAATACGGAGAATGCCAAAAGTATGGACCCCAAAGCCTCTTAAAGGATATTCCAGAAAGCAAAATAACAGCTTTAGGATCAGGAGAATAAATATAAGTGCAATTTTTCACTCAACAAATATCCTATTAGTGTGTAAACCACACTGAGGAGACATTGAGGCCATAGATAAATGATGGATGATTTAAACAAGTGTTAGTGAAGGTGTGACTAGCCAATTTGATTGTGGGCAAATACATATATCTGAATGGTAAGAGATGTCAGTATAAAAGCCATGTGGGGAGAAGAGACAGAGGAGAGGATCTAGAAGTGATAGGAGCTTCATTTCTTTTGCTGCTTCCCAACACTCACATTCTCCACCACCAGGTCAGTTTCTTCATTTATTCATTGAGTCGTGACATATTTATTGACTGCCTCCAATGGGTAAGGCATATGGGGGCACTGAGGACAGAATACACACCCTGTCTCCAAAGATTTCAGAATTCAAAGACAAGCAGAAAAACTATCACAAAACACAGTGTGAGAAGTATATTTAAGTCATTCACTCAGCTGTTGATTGAGCAGATTTTTCTTGAGCAGCTACTATGTGCTAAGAACTGTGCTAGGTCTTGGAGATAGAATGTCAAGTGAAACAAACAGGGCCAGAGTCCCACAGTCTAATGGATCAGATTCTCATTAATTAGTCCTGACTATCTGATCATTTAGCTGAGGGGTCAAAGTAGGATAAATCATGAACTTCCATAGGGATATGGGCCAATGCCAAATGTTACTTAGGGTTACACAGTCCTTTTCCCATTTGAAAAGAGAAACAGATGAGGGCTTCTCCCGTGCAGCACTCTCTACCTGGGAAGTTGATGCCACCAGTGATTTGAGTCTCCCGAGAATCTCACAGCTCCCTGGCCCAGAAGGCAGAGACCGTGCTGTCGGCGCCAAAGGCTTAATCATTAGCTGGAAGAAGAGGTGACTTCAGTTCCATGACAGGAGAAGGAGGAAAAAATAGGGTATGTAATAAGACTAACAAATTATAGAAGAAAATGAGGCAACACATTTCTAAGTCTGGCTGAAAGAAGGAAGGACGGATTGAATTTCTCCCACCCACCCCTGCTACGCGGGGCCACATGAGAAGCATTTCAAATAGGACACTAGGATATCTGCCAAAAGAAACATTTTCCCAGAGAGGGAGGCTAGGGACTGAGGGTCCTGTTTCACAGATCATTCCAGTTTCCAGGAGAGAGGTACTGTGTGATGGAAGGTATTCACCACAGCCCCCCAACTCGACCGCCTCTGGGAGAGAAGTGACACCACCCCCACATTACTCGTCCAACTCTCTGTCAGAGTTGATTTGTATCCGAAAGTGTCACTTCACCTGGGAGGGAAAGAGATGCTCCCCTCTCTGTAGCCAGAATTACTTTTAGGCCATTCTATCAGAAACTGTCTTATTTTTGAAGCACTTAAGAAAGAACTCTACTTTAAAAAACTGACTTTAAAATCTTTCTCCTTTTGTGTTTAAGCAATCATCAAAAGGGTGGGTTTTTTGGTTTTGTTTTTCCAGCACTCCTCTTCTGGCCTACTTAGCTGTAATTCTGTTTTGTCTAAAACTTATCAAGTGGTGACTTGCTATGTTGGAGCCATGTGACAGTCAAGGTTAGAAGGCTTCCTTTTCTGGTGTCTTCTTCGTCAGATATACTTTCTACTATATTCAAATAGACTTACCCCTCAGAATCTTGGTCACAGGCTCTTTTTCTTTTCCTCCTCTTCAAATATCTCTCTCTCTCTAGAAAATTCTCTTTGTTTAGTTTGTGATTTTTCAGTACATTCATCAAAAGGGGAAAGGATTTGAGTGAATGAGTTTTGGATTTTTATTTGTTTTCTAGGACCTTACTTTGTGTTTTTGTCATCTATTCTCTTCCCTGACTTTCTTCTTACTTGGAAATTTCCAGCATTACCCTGGAGTTCTGTTCCACTGAAATGCTTTCTTCAATTACAGACTGCCTAGCTCGTGGGTTTTTAGGTTTCTGTTTAAGACACCCGTATCACTTTCAGAAAAGTTTGAAAAAGCAGGAAAAGATAAAATATAAAGTGGTTAATATTGTTAATAACATCGTACCTGAGAAAACTTAGCAAGTGTTTGTGGGAAACAGTGGAAGCATAGAAAAGGATGGAGTAACGTGTTTCTTTTTCCCCTTTTGCTTCCTAGGCTAGATTCCGTCCTCTAACCTGGCAGGTCTCTTTCCTCCTCCAGGCCCAGGCTTGCCTTCACGAGCTGCCAAGCCCTTTTCATGCCCTTCGTGGATGCACTCCCTTCAGCCTTCCATCTGCCCAGCTCAAGTTCCGTCCCTACATTAAGTGATTTCCACTCCTCTCAGACAACACTCATCCTTTCCTTCTCTGAACCCTGGTGCACATGAATCTTAGTCCCTCATCATTCCTTAGTTGAAATCCATCTCATTCCTAGAAGGTATAGTTTACAAAATTTCTGGATGATCTATGAGGGCCTATAATTTTTTTTCTAAAGAGAATTACCATACACTGATGAATTTTACCCTTCATTTCCCAGGTAACTCTACTAATTGCTTAGGTGTTAGCAGGAGTGGGAAGTAAAATGGTATAAAGTCTCCATGGACATCACTTCTCAAGGCTCTTGGGTTGAATTGGTGTAGGCCCAGCAGATGACCACTGAGGCAGGAGCAGTGAAGTCTGGCCCAATCCCTGCTCTGATGCTCAGTCTCTCTGAAGGCCCTGGCAGCATGGTCAATGCGTCACTTAGTTATCACCTATCTTGTGAATTCTGTCTTTCATACCCCAGAGTAACACTAGTGAATTACTGCTTCTCACAGGATCAATCCTTTGTGCTCCTACCAAAATTAGTCAAAACTGGAATTTGATCTGAGGAGTGTTAGACCAGGCATCACTCTATCCTACCCTTTCATTAGTGAGGTCTGCTGAGAGAATTCAGTGCCTTTGGACTTGGATTTTTGAAAACAGATTTTTGGGAGGTGATATCTACTCCCTTTCTCCATTAGTGGTGCCTTTGTTTTAGATGGAGACTAACCTCCTTACTAGCCTGGGCAAGTTAGCCTGTAGTATAGGTATTGTGAGATAAATAAAGCCCAGTCCCTACCACCACTCAACTTCCACCCACCAACTTCCCCGAAATGCAGCTGGGAACAACAACATTGGCTGTAGGAATATAATCAGGTGGGAATTCACTGAAGAGCTAAGGGGATGCTTCTGTGATGGTTAGAATACATTCTTCATTTATGTAAGCTTGAACGTGTCACTTATTTTTGTGGGTAACATTCCCAGTCAAGACCAAAGATGAACAGTACAGGTGTTTTTAAAATGGACTCCCTGCACTTCTTGAGTTCGTTTTCAATCAATGCTTTCTATATATCGTTGTGTTCCAGAAAGATACATCTCTGTCATGGCCGTGAAGTTAATTATCCAATATTTTAAGCTTTTTTGAATATGGAAATATAAGGGAGATGGTTTTTCTATACTCAGATTCACAGATTTTCAATCATAACAGAAATATTCAATAGCTTCTGCTATTAAAAGTGGACTCAAAAAGACAATGTTTATTTCTTCTATCACCCAGTGCATCAACTTGGCACATAGTACGTGTGCAAAAAATGTGTTTTACACAAATAAGTAAAGGAGTGCCTACAATGATTCCAACATGCTTGGTTTAATGTGTGCAGGAAGATTGGTGACTATTTGAATTGAGTAATGGGCAAAAGTTGTATTAGTTTTCCCTTCCTAGTAGCTTATTATGTTAAAGGATAAATACCAAACCTGCAGGAGCAAAATAGGGTTCTGTAGCAGGTAGAACTGAATGCTGATCCTCTTCCCAAGCTGTTCGTGAACACACACCCTCTGTGTCTTTTGGTTTCCCCTCTGCTTAGATGCCCAGCCCACAGAAGGAGAGAGGGAAATATGGAACCAGATCAGCGCCGTCCTCCAGGATTCCGAGAGCATCCTCGCAGACCTGCAGGCTTACAAGGGCGCGGGGCCAGAGATCCGAGACGTATGTCAATGATAATACTGAGCTGACAACACCCTTGGAGGAGAAGGGGAACCCACACACGCGCACACACAGCAAGATTAAGTAATAGCCCTAACATTATTTCCTAGCGTAGTAGGAAGAACAAGGAGGGTAATGTGTCCTTAAAAAAATATATGAATGACCGCTTTTATTCTAGTACATTAATCTGAGCACACAGTGCTATAGACTATGTAAAACATTAGCCATTCTCTTCTCAGACATATTTGATATCACAGGACTCACATTTAAACAATAATTTGTCAGTATATAACTTCATTTAAGGGAAAAGTACATATAAAGTCTATGAACAACAATTGAAATATAAGTCATGAGATCTGAGTTTACATGAACTTTCCAACATTTTGTAATACTTTTGGCAGGTTCCACCAGTATCACAAATAACAGCCATAAACTATCTTGCTTTAAGTAGCCTGCAGGTCTGCCATCTTGAAATGACTTATGAGATTGAAAAAATAAATACATGAAAAACTGTAAAACAACACCAAAACAAAAAAAGCAACTGTCAGTGTGGCTTTGAGACTTCATAATGCCTTAAAGGCAAGAAACTTCACACTCCTTTTGTTTGAAATAATCTAGTTTTGTGGAAGTATCAACACATACCCACATGCGCATATGCACACACGCTACTGCCACTGCTGGTCATCCTTCTGCAAAAACACCATTAACATCAAAATCTTCAAGCTGCTGAAACCCAGGCAAAACAGCATTTCTAAGAAAGTAGTAGTCTATGGAAAGGTTGTTTTTGTACTAAGGGGTCACCATTAATTTAGGTGATTTAGGTAACATCACAGACTGGCAAGAATGTAGGACATATTATAGAGAAAAGAAAATATCTACAGAATCTGCACTTCATATTGAGCACTAGCTCTGCTTTAGAAGAATCAAATGGTGATGGAGGAGGGCTGAATTGCTTCCAATTAGATATGTATTTTTTTTTTTGCATTTAAGAGAAGAGAAACAAGTAAGATGACATGGGATCTAATTGTAGAGTCATTTGCACTATATTCAAGTACTAAAATCTCCATTCTAATTGAGGATCTTGAAGGAGAGTCCGATGAACTGATGTCAATTTAGGAAGTACGCATTAGCAAAGTACATCAGGAATTGTATTTTTTTTTAACTAAAATCCTTTCTCAATCTTATGGCGTTTTAACGTGCAGCTTATTTTTTTAAGCAGTTCTATCATGTTTTTGTAGGCAATTCAAAATCCCAATGACATTCAGCTTCAAGAAAAAGCTTGGAATGCAGTGTGTCCTCTGGTCGTGAGGCTAAAGAGATTTTATGAGTTTTCCATAAGGCTAGGTGAGTGTGTGTTTACAGTTTTCATGTCCCGTGTATGAAGTTCCATTATAGCATTTGGGAAAGTAGGAAGAAGAGCTCAGTGCATCGGAAAATGTCCTACATCCATCCAGTGTGTCTTATAAGAGGCATCCATGGACAACACCACCTAATATTTTCATTTCTTTCAATCTATCTCAAAGTCTCTTCTCCTGAAGTTATTGGCACGTTTAAGGTATCTCTAATGGTGGATGTCCCTTTGGTCTTGTTCTCAGCTAAGTCTGACTCTCAACGGTTTTACTGTGTTCTGAGCATGTTTCTGAGAGAGAGAGAAGTTGGAAGACACAGGTGACCTGCTAACCCAAAAATAACTTGGTTGGCTATAGTCATGTGATGAATTTAATATAGTAAAATACAAGAAAAACAAACATAGCGTCTGCCCTTAAGCTTTAGCAAAATAAACACACACACACACAAAAAAAAACCTGTACAGGTGCAGGTGGCTTTGTAGAAGGAAGAGTAAAGTCAAGTCGGGTTGACAGTAGGCTCAGGGTGTCCACCATTGTGATATAACTGCTCCTTCCAACAGTAAAGCTAGCTGAGGTTTCATTAGTTAATATAATATATCTAGAATGAGAAAGGGGGTAGTCATGTTCTACTCTACTTTTGCCATAAGTGAATGCCACATTTTAAGAGAAATTGAAATGCTTTTCAGAATAATAACCATAATGTTGAGAAAATTTGAAGCCAAGACCCAAAGGCAGTAGTTGAATGAGTTGAACCAATTGTTCAAGAAGAGGGATCTTCTGAAGACTCTCAAGTTGAACAGAGATTGACTTCTCTGTTTCCTCAAAGTGTATGTCTAAATCCAATGAACTGAAATCCTAAGGAGCTAAGTTTCAGCTCAACAGAAGGAAAAAGATCTGTCTGACAGAGCAGGCCAAGGTAGAACTAGCTGCCTCAGAAGACAGCCCATTCCCATAGATGGAAAAGGCTAGAGATGCCCTTTTAAAGATGGTGTAAAAGACATTTAAGGATTATAGAGCAGATGCTGGCAAACTTTTCTGTAAAGAGCCAGATAATAAATATTTAGGCTTGCGGGCTATCCTGTCTTTGTTGCAACTACTCAAGTCTGCCATTGTAGCACAATAGTAGCCTTAGTCAATACATAAAGGAATGAGTGTGGCTATGTTTTAATAAAAATTTGTTTGCAAAAATTGACAGTGGGCCATATTTGGTCTGTGGGCCATAGTTTGCCAACCCCTGCTATAGAGGGTTGGTTAAATGACTCAGTGCTGTTAGAAATATATCGAAGGAAAAACTGGAGAGAACGTTTAGAAACAGGCAAGAGGGAGTAGAGACTGTTTCAAGGATGATAATGGAGGTAGATATAGCGGTGGGTTCGCAGAAGAATATTCCTGGGATTAGATTAGAGTGTAGATGCAGAGAAGAATTGGAATGGGACCAGAAGTCTTTCCCTGCAAGACAGGTGAGCTAACCCACGTATCCACAGCTGTCTTATCTCATCCTGGATCTTGAAGCACATGATCCAAAAACATGTATTTGTAGTTTTCTAACAGTGTTAGGGAATTGAGACTACCGAACATGTGAGGGTCCCGCTGAGCTTTGAGAGACATTTCCAAAACTGTGTGGCCATGGGGGTCTTCTGCAGTGGAGGTAACTTGTTTGGACTTGAGGGGCTTCTTCTCTCCTTATCCATATGCAACACATCTCACACAGTTATGGGGAAAGACATAGAGAAGAAAGAGCCAAGCAGGTTCTCTCTGAGAATGTCAACTGGGTCTAAGAATTGTGCTTTTTGAAGGACCTCTGTGGGCCACCTTAAATATATATTTATCCCTTTGACTTTCAGAAAAAGCTCTTCAGAGTTTATTAGAATCTCTGACCTGTCCACCCTATACGCCAACCCAGCACCTGGAGCGGGAGCAAGCCCTGGCAAAGGAGTTTGCGGAAATTCTACATTTTACCCTTCGATTCGATGAGCTGAAGGTTAGGCCACATACGCTGTGACAATTTAACAAACTTGAACTGGCTACCTACTGTGTACATGTACTCTGCTAATGCTGTGGGGGGAGAGGGTAATAGAGAGATGAGTAAGACATAGCCCCTTCCCTACAGCGACAATATTGTAGTGACAATTTGTGTTCCTTGTGGTAAAAGTGATTTAAGATGGTGGTTTGTACTTGGAAATTCAAAATCTGCTAAGATGCAATAAGAGAAAACCTTTTCAAGTAGTCTGTTCCTCATTGAGAACAAATATACTTTGCCTGAAATCTAGCCTACAGAAAAACAGGGCATATTTTAAAATAATGAAGCTCTGAATACTTATTTTTAATTAGAAGTTGCTTTGACTCTTGTGTAACAAAGAGAAGTCTGGTATTTACAAAATCTAGTGTCTAGGCTCCTAATGCAATCCCCCATCTGATGCTAGGAAGTGACCTTTCTTCTCTTCTGAATTTCAGATGAGGAACCCAGCTATTCAGAATGACTTCAGCTACTACAGAAGGACAATAAGTCGCAATCGCATCAACAACATGCATGTGAGTCCCTGGGTCTTCTGGGTCTATACGCCATCCTCCATGTCTCTTTTGATTTCTGCATCAGGGAGGGCACAGGGAGATGATCAGAGTCTTTGTCTGTAATTCAATTTCCAAAGTTTTGGGATTTTGACCATCTCTTTATCAGTTGCATCTTCTCTTCTTATTTTCATCAGCTAGACATTGAGAATGAAGTCAATAATGAGATGGCCAATCGAATGTCCCTCTTCTATGCAGAAGCCACGCCAATGCTGAAAACCCTTAGCAATGCCACGATGCACTTTGTCTCCGAAGTAAGTGAAGTTGAACAACAAGGTGCTTTTTTCTTAGTTGCACGTAAAAGCTGCTGGCAGGGCTAACATACATTTGTGTCTCCCATTTAGAACAAAACCCTGCCAATAGAGAACACGACAGACTGCCTCAGTACGATGACAAGTGTTTGTAAAGTCATGCTGGAAACTCCGTAAGTTAAATCAGAGGTGTATTCATGGTCTAGAGTTCACCTAGACAGGGTCTGTTAATATGAGGATGATAATGATGATGACTGTTAATATGATGATGAGGATGATGATGATGACGATGACAATTATGACATCTAACATTTGGGTCAGGACATTAAAATTTACAAGTATATTAACTGAATTAGTTTCATAAAGAACTCTGGGTGATAGATGTAGTTATCCCTATTTTATAGCTGAGAAGCTGGGGTCCCAAAGGTTAGACTGGTTAACCTTCCCAAAAGTTGCATAGCTTGTTAGATGGCAGAACCAAGACTCAAATCAAAGATGCTGTAGAAGATGTGGAAGGACCAAATGGAGGATTGGGCTAAAAGACTGGGTATTATTGTAAATATATTGGAGAAAAGATTTGGGAGAAGACTTAGAACCAAGAGTAGAAGTGGTAAGGCCGTTGCAAGAGTGATAATGGAGATTTCTCTCTCTCTCAGCAGTTTCTTTGTACTAGTTGCTAGATTTAAAAAATGGTTGAGGTTGTTAAGGATGAGGTAGCATGGCAATGAGGAAATCCACACTCAGAAGTCAGGGTTCCCTGTATGTCTGTAGCCCCTTCTGTGCCCGTAGACAGGTGGTCTGACCTGCCTTGGCCTTTGATTTCCTCATCTGATGAAGTTCCCATAATGCCATCTACTTTGCAGAGTGTTTGGGAGGGCTGAAGTTGTCAAGAGTGCCTGAGAAAATTTGTTGCTCTGTTCAAATGTAAGATGACGTTAATTTCAAATATTTCGCTTATACCAAAGCTAAGATTTATTCCAAGACACAAATAGTAGTAATCTTCATTGAGGGGCCAATTCATAATGAAATAGATGTTAAGAATACCTCTAGAATTGCCCTGAATTATCGGAATCATCGGGGACCCTGTCAAGGTAAGTGAAAAAAATTGAAACTCCACAAATACTCTCAGCCCAGTGAATGGTATATAATTTCTTTTAGGTATCTTTACCAATCTAATTCAGTCTGCAACCTGTGTCTTAACAAAGGAAGTTACTTTGACTGGAGACATGATAGCTGCTCTTGTAGAAATGAGCCTGATTCTTTTTCTCCATAATGAAGCCATTATTCTCTATAATCTTGGACAGCCAGAGAGGCCTGCTATAAAATATTCAAGATTGATGGATGGGGGAGTGATGTACGTGATGAGCTGGCCCATTGAAGAGCAGAAGAGAAAAGAATTTACTGCCCTCTAATTTACCTTATTTTCACACTGAATTGCTGGTTGGGTAGATTCAAGGAGAATTATCATCATGGGTTTCTTTAAGAGCATATTAACCTGGTTGTTGCAGGTCTGGGATTGTTCTCAAGAGGGCATTGGAGGAGTCTAAAGTAGCCAGTTGTGGAGCCAGAAACAAATGTGCTCTGGCAAGGAAGTAATGCCACTGCCATGTCTTCTCTCTTGCAGGGAGTACAGGAGTAGATTTACGAGTGAAGAAACACTGATGTTCTGCATGAGGGTGATGGTGGGGGTCATCATCCTCTACGACCACGTCCACCCTATGGGAGCTTTCTGCAAGACATCCAAGATCGATGTAAGAATAGTTACGAAATGTGCTTTCCAAATAAGAGCTCGTGAATGTTGCCAGATGGACCTTGCTTCCTTCTCTCTCTCTCCTCCATCCCCCACTAAGTGTGATCTCTCCAAGGCAAGCCCCATCATGGCAGCTCTCCTCACAGCAAGAAGTCCAATCTTTTTCACATGCGTCCAACAAAACATCCAACCTCAAAAGCATAGCAGTTACACGGAGATGCTGATCCCCTCAGCCTGTAGAGCTGAGCAGGTCAGCAGTCATTTAGTTGCAAGCTGCCCCTTCGGTTTATCCAGCATCCCATGTACATATATATATTTTCGTATGTTATATGTGTCTTAATGTGAAAAGCGTTGGGAGATACTGGGTCACAAGACGCCATGGTCAAATCCCAAATGACATTTCATCTTCTTCTCCTACCACCCCTGCTAGTTGCTCCACCTGCCTCCTGTGGCTTTTGTCGTCACTGGAATATGCTCGATCCCCTTTCCCTGCCCATAGTGCCCTCCGTCTTCTGTGATGGGTGGATTCCTTTAAGATGCTCCTCAAATGTCACCTCATCTAGGAGCACATCTCCTGTGCCCTGCATGGATCAGAGCCTTCCTTCTCTTCTGGTCCCCAGAGCACTTACCATTTTGGATTTCCTAACTCCCTCACAAACTCCGAGTTTGTTGACAAGGCCAGAGACCACGATCTGTACACCTCATGTCTGCTAGCACTGTACTGTCTCGTGCTGTACTCAGCACATAGAACATGGCATTCAATACATGCTCTGTAGAGTTTTTGCTGAATGAAGAATATAATTGGAAAACAAATGATTTTGGGGTACAAGTGATTTCCTGCTAATTATGAGATAAAGCACACCTCCTCTCAATCCAGCCTTTGCCTGCAGCGTCACCCAATAGTGTATCCCACGTATTAATTTAAAGCCTTTTTCTTCATTCTTTATTTATTTATTTTTATTGATGTAACAGTGGTTTATAACATTATATAAATTTCAAGTGTACATCATTATATTTCGATTTCTGTGTAGCCTACATCATGTTCACCTCCCAAAGACTAATTACCATCCGTCACATACATGTGTGCCCTGTCACCCCTTTCACCTCCCTTGCTCCCCACTTTCCCTCTGGTAACTATCAATCTAATCTCTGTATCTATGTGTTTGTTTGTTGTTGTTGTTGTTGTTTTATCCTCTACTTATGAGTGGTATTTGACTTTCTCCATCTGACTTATTTCACTTAGCATAATGCCCTCAAGGTCCATCCATGTTGTTGCAAATGGCAAGATTTCATCTTTTTTATAGCTGAGTAGTATTCCGTTGTGTATATATACCACCTCTTCTTTATCCATTGATAGGCACTTATGTTGTTTCCAAGTCTTGGCTATTATGAATAATGCTGCAGTGAACATAGGGGTGCATATATCTTTATGCATTCATGTTTTCATATTCTTTGGATGAATACCCAGCAGTGGAAAAGCTGAATCATATGGTAGTTCTATTCTTAATATTTTGAGGAATCTCCATACTGTTTTCCCAGCAGCAGTGTATGAGAATTCCCTTTTTTCCACATCTTCTCCAACACTTGTTATTTCTTGTCTTGTTAATTATAAATTTAAAGCCTTTTAAGTACAAAATAGGACCTCTTGGTCCTAACTTATTCTGACATGGTGAAGTTTGGGCGGCACACTCTATGCTCATTCATCTTCCCAGAACAGCATCTTTGATGCTCTAGTACTGTGCAGACAGAAAGTCTACATGCCCTGAGGGGCCATGAGTCTGAAGAATGTAAGAAGATTTATCAATTAAAAATGCAACTTGGATTACTCATTTTGAGGTTCTGGCTTCCTAGCACAGCTAGTCATGGTTCTTCATAGAGTCTTCATTATTTTTAATGTAAATATTTCTGTTTACTGAGAAAATAAATATTTAGTATAAAAAATTTTGGAAAATACAGGAAATAAAAATACAGAAAATTAAATGTATCTGCAATAACCTCACCATAGACAGATGACCACTGTCAATATGTCAGCATATATATATATCCCTTCTTTTTATATAGATATTTGTGTGTATGTGTGTGTATGTACTTAAATTAGCACCCTGCTATAATTGCTATTTTTAAACAATTTAATTTGCATAACAGTATATTATGGAAATTTTTTCATACCAATAAATATTTTTACTATATTCTTTGTGAGATTTTAACATTTTTATACTATAGATCGAGTGTTAAAAACTCTATTAATAACTCCATGAATATCATTTGAATATGGATAAGGTTTATTACTTGGTACTCATAGGACATTCTAATTTACCATAGCCATCTCTTAACTTGTCACAGAGTCAACAATTAAAAATACACTGGATACAATTATGTCTTGTAGCCCTAACCTTTCAAAAGCTTGTCCTTGTTTGTCATTTACTAAGTCTTTCTGTTGAGGTCATAAATATTATATAATGTTAAATCTAACCACACACAGTCTTGATGAAGTCTATTTGTTCATATAGGTCTCACTAAGAAAAGTTTGTTCATATTGAAGTTTGCATGCGTCTCTAAGAATGTTTCGGGTTTACCAAACACAACACTTGTTTGATGGGCCTTTTTCTTTGATGACATAAAGGGTCTTTTTCCAGATATCAGTCTGCTTGTAAGCCAGTCGTTACATGCACTAGATTTATAAATCCTTAGGGCATCAGCATCAACCGTGAAAAAACAAATATTTACTTGCGATATCCTGAAATTGGTACTGTTTTATGCACTTATAAAGAACGTGCCCTGGAGTGCAAAATAGACGTGCAGTGAGCTCTAGAAACCCAGATGAGGGAGAAACTCATTCTGCTTAGAGGCAGAGACAGAGTGATGTTTGAGCTGGACCTTGAAGAAGAGGTAGGATTTTACCAAATGGACAGAGAGAAGGAAAAGTACTCCAGGCAGAGGGAATCATCAGAGTAGGGTCACCAAGGCCCAAGCAAGCGGTTATGCATCATTTAGAGAATATAGGCTATTCTCGGGTGCCAGGAAAGGCAGCCTGGAGTGAGATGGCATTTTCAACTGATTTCCTTAGAATTGTATGGAATGATTCAATAAGGAATAACTCCTTAGCCCCGGCCCCTAGCCCAAACCTCACCCAGAATTCCAGACCACGCCTCCTCTGGACACCTGAAATATGGTCGGCCTCAAGTCAAAGGCAATCCTTCCCCACAAACCTGTTCTTCCTCCTGGGTTCCTGTCCTAGGTATTTCACCTTCCTCCAGTCCAGCCTCTAAGCCAGAAACCTGGAATTCTCCCTCAGAACCCAGGAATTGTCTTCTTCCCTCTTCTTTACCCCCATATCTTATCAGTCACCATGTCCTATGGACTGGACCTCAGATTAATCCTCCCGTCTCTGCCTGCTTCTCCATGCCCACTGCTCTCCCACACGCCACACCCTCAGGGCTCCCACTGGTCCTCCTACCTCTAGTCTTGCTTCCCCTGATCCTTTTCCATATTAACCACGTTGCTTAATTGTTTAACATCTATCAAGTGTGTTTTCTACAGGTAAAGCCCCCCAACTGCCTAACATGCTATTAAACCTACAGCAGAGCTGGCTTTGACCACATCCCTGACCGCATCTTGTTATTCACACCCAAGGCTTTAATCGGCCTGAAATAGAACTGGAAATTCCCAAAGAGTACCCGCTGCTCTTCCTTCCCGTTTCTCATCTATGTTCCCACTGCTCCTGTGGCATTTTTTACAAGAACACATACCACACTATAATAATGAGCCATTTGTCTCTCTTCTCCCACTGGACTATGAGCTTTGTTGGGAGAAGGACCAAATCTCTGCATGCCTAGGCTTGATCCCATCCTGCACCCGTGACAGACATCTCTGATTGACCACGACATTCTTTCTTCATGAGCTTCTACATGAGCCCCAAATGATTCTCAACCTGTGTTCCGGCTGCCTCCATCAATCTATCAGGGTTATCAGGCCTTTAAGAAAAAACTTTCAACATACCAAAATTATACCCACAGAAAATATTTATAAATGACCATTATAAAAGAGGCCGTTAGTATACTCAAATCTAATACAGTGCATGAATATCTGAGTTTAAAATGAATGATTGTATTCTTTGCAGAAAAATTCTTCTTTTAGTGGAAAAAAAAACATTCCAGGATATGCATAATATAATGTGATCTATATAAATTTAGCTTTCATGCACTTCCCAAATTATGAATATATTATATTCCAAGGACACAAAAAGCTAAGAAACTTGCCTAGGTTCATGAAGATGCTAAACAAGCATGCATGGATGAAATCCAGCCAAGCTGCCCACATGTGGTTCACATTCCTAACCACTGTCCTTCACCAGTGCTCTCCTGGTCTAGTGAGGGAGACAAATTAATCTGGGCACTAAAATCTCCAGGGTTCTCTGTTAAATGCCAGTGGAGGGCTGGCCCCGTGGCTTAGCGGTTAGGTGCGCACGCTTGGCTGCTGGCGGCCCGGGTTCGGATTCCCGGCGCGCGCCGACACACCGCTGCTGCGGCCATGCTGAGGCCGCGTCCCACGTACAGCAACTAGAAGGATGTGCATCTATGACATACAACTATCTACTGGGGCTTTGGGGGAAAAAAATAAATAAAATTTAAAAATAAAATGTTTTAAAAAAAAAAATGCCAGTGGAATTTGGGAATACAAAGAGGTGGTGGTTACTTCTACCTGGTGAAGCTAATGAGGTCAGAAGAGGCTTCCCGGTGTTGGTGATCTTCAGCTGAGTCCTAAAAGAAATTGTTAAGAGTTTGTCAGTCAAACAGCTGAAGGAGGAAAAGCATTCTGGGAAGAAGGATGGCACAAAATGATGGGGTTTGTAATTTATTTAGTCAATCTCAGCTGAGCACTGACTGGAGGGACAGCCCCACACTTGGCTCTGGAGTCCAAGACAAGAAGATCAAAGCCTCAAGTCTTTGTCCCCAAATGCCAGACATGTGAAATGTTCAAATGCAGTATAGTATGAAAACTGATACAGAACCTTCTAGAAGCCCAGAGGAGCAACCCGCTGGCCAGAAGGGGTAGGAAAGTCTGTTGATCATTTCTGTGTTTGATTTCTGTGGGCAGAAATAGTGTGATATTGTTATGGACAGATGTTGTTATGGACAGATATTATTATGGACAGAATTTCTAGGATATTAACAGAATGTTGTACTTTTTCCTCCTAGATGAAAGGCTGTATAAAAGTTTTGAAGGAACAGGCCCCGGACAGCGTGGAGGGGCTGCTGAATGCCCTCAGGTGAGCCTCAGTCCTGGGGTAGACTCACCGTGGGGCAGCCAACCCTTCATATCGATTGCAAGTTTAGATGCTGTTGGGGACTGAGGGCTAGAGCCCCAGGATTAACCTCTTGCATGTCTTAACACGTTTAATCTTCCCAACAACTTGTTGAGGTCGGCACCATTTTTATCATTCCTTTTGTATAGATGGAAGAAACTGAGATTTAGAGAAGTCAAATAACTTGTCAAAAGTCACATAGCAGATGGCCAAGCTAAGACCTAAACCCCGGTCTCTGCGACCCCGCAGGTCATGGGCCTAACTCCTGGCCATGCTGCTTTGTGGTTAGTGGGGACTCGTCAGAAGAAGCAGCTTCCCAGGTCTCACTTCCCCCTTCACTGGTGTTCCAAACCTGGCTGCACATGAGAATTAATGTGGGTAGCTTTTGAAAGCAATAATACCCAGGCTCCAGCCCAGACCAAATGAATTAGAATCTCTGGGGTGGGGCTCACACATCCGTTCTGCGTTTGATTGTTCTAAGGCTCCCTGGGTGTTCACATGTGCAGCTGCCAGAATTGAGAACCCTGCTCCACACTGTCTGGATGCCAAGTATTTGGCCACCTGTGCTTGTTACAGCCCCTCACTGATACCAAGTAACGCCCAGTACCCTCTCTCCCAAGGATACATGTGCTTAAGCCACTTCAGGGAAGGGATTCTTATTTTTTTGCTGTGACAAATTTATATCAGTTTGTTGAATCATATTACTCTGTAAATCATTCTAGTACTGGATTGCAATCTGGAAGGTTTATGGTCCCTGCTGTCTTATTTATCTTTGATTTCCCTCAGTTCCACTCAACGTTGTGCATGCAGTAGGTGTTCAATAAGTATAAGTGGAATGGACCAGTAATCCTCTACCTCTGTGCAACACTTATGTTTTATTCTCCACTCCCAGTCACACTGTCTCATTTAATCATCCCGACTCAGAGAGGTAAGGCTGATCTAGTATCCCCATTTAATAAATGAAGCCACTGAGATGCACAGGGAATGAATAAACAAGACACCGAGGTTGATGCTGCTTTGTGGAGCTGCTAAGTCATCATTCTTCAGAACAGATGTAGCATTAATATAGGAGCCTTCCAGATTCTGTGGGTAAACTAAGGTTTTCTCCATTGGTGCCCACTTCACAAAAGTCTAGCTTTCCATACTCAGTAAGACTTTAGCTTCTGGATTTCTTGAACTTTCCAGCTTGATTCAATGAAACAAGACTTTGAGAGCAGGGCACTGTGGTAGGCTGTGAGTCCCATCTGAGTGTTGGCATTTGTGTCTCCTGTAGGCACTGGGATGAAGTGAAAGAGCACAGGCTTTTGAAGCATGCAGACCTGGGTCCAAATCAGAAATCAGAAATTGTTCACAAATCATGCATTGTCATATTTCTGATCTGGAATGGGTCATTTAACTTCTCTGAATCTCAGTTTTCTTATCTGTAAAATGGAGGCAATAATCCGTCCTGCAAAGAGTTAGTGTGAGTGAAATGTAAACTTACATGGAGTGCCTAGGGCGTGGGCAAGATTTTGTTACCTGTTAATTCTCCTTTCCTTCCTTTTCGTAAACTTTCTACACCAGTTTAATGTGAGGCTGCAGAGTGCATCACTTTCCCTGGTTTGTTTACCTGCCCTTGTGCCCCCTTGTGGTGGCAGTGAGGATAAGCGTTGCCACAAAAGTAGAAAACCATAAACGTTTAAGTTTTGGGTAATGTTGCTATGCAAATCCGTATTTTGAAATTTGTGGCTCAGCAGGGGTAGCATAAATGGCCAAGATTCTGCATTCAATCTTGTGAAGTCTATCTCCTGGAAAATGAGATGGCTTATATGTCCTCTGTGAAATTATTTGATTAGATAAAAGATCTACTTGTTTAATAACCAGAAGACAAAATTCCTTTGGAAGGAAGAATCAAATATTAAATCTGTCTGAGAATACTCTGGGCATTGAAGTGTGGTTCTTTGTCTAAAGAACCAAGCCGGAGTTTGATTTATAAATATCAACTGTGTCTCCCAAGGTAAAGATGGGCTGGTGAGTCATCGGAGCTTTGAGTACTGTTTACACACTGAACTCTATCATTTTCTCTCCATCCAGGTTCACTACAAAGCACTTGAATGATGAATCGACTTCCAAACAGATTAGAGCGATGCTTCAGTAAAACTCTGCTCAAAGAAGAGGATCTATGTACTGACCTCAGAAGATGTATATGTTTACATAATTTAATACAGATTGATGTTAATACTTGTGTATTTACATAACCGTTTCCTTCTTGTCACTGAAATATATGGACCTTCATTTGTATCCTGATTGACTCAACCCAGCAGAGCATAAATTGACTTGAGAGCCTTACCTTTGGTGTCTAAAACAAAATTCCCTTCTCCAAAGGCAGCATTTGGAGACCTTGATCTTTGCTACTGGAGTCCTTTAACTATACCTGTAACAATCAGAAATTCCTAATAGTTTGTGGTAGTGTTTTAATTCTAGATGTGTAATCTCTCTGGGAAGTATAGTTATAGAAACACAAAGTATTTGATTTCCTGTGTCTACTCAGCTGCAAGAAACACAACTGTTATCCTGATAGAGGGAGAGAGGAATCCAAGAAAGGAAGAATGCATGTGGAGACTCAAACCGAAGTGTTTTGACTTCAGCACGCCCCCTCTCTTTCCTCAGACTGCAAACCACACGTGCAACTTTTGCACATATTTTATTCATCAGCATATTCCCTTTCTGTCTGGATTTATATCCCTCTAAAGTTCCCTTTCAATTTTGCAAGAGGAAAATCAGCTGTGTTTGACTCAGTTCGTGAGAGAGCAGCAAGAATAGATGGATATGCTGTGGTAGCTGGGCTGATGAAGGTGATTGTCTCGGAAGTGGGGGACAGGTTGGGAGGAAGGGCACGCAGGCAACAGGAGAGTCAGCTCTCTGCTTCAACCCTCTGTCCACAGGGACAGGGAAATGGAGCTCTGGCTTTGAACTTGTGGGTAAATTTGCTGACATTCCAGTTGTTTGTGGAGTGCTGGGCACACAGCCCCTCCTAATTGGAGCCTTGTCCTGTGTGGACCATTCATGTGATAACAGGGGTCTAGGCTACTTCATGAGTTACCAGAAAACTGGGAGAATTTGGAGGGGGCAATGTCTACATTTTCTGATTACCTGGTATTTAAAATGCAGCTCCTCTCCAACCCCACTGCTTGTTGCAATGTGTAAAGCTCTGGTATGAGTGCCTAGATTTAGTCCTAGCCCTATCAGTGATTTACAGTGTGATCTTAGGAGATTCACTTAAGCTCTTTGTGTCTCACCTTCCTCATATGTAAAATGGACAATTAAAACAGACAATCTCCAGGAGCCCTACAAGGCTATGAGCCATTAAAATGACTGACTCTGACATTCTTCCTTAGTAAGTAAAGTCCAGTAAGCATCACCCCACCTTGTCTTGATGATTAACAATATGACAAGGCCTAGAGTCGTTCTGCCTGCAGATCAGAGCTTAGAATGGAATCTTGGAAATCTTCTATTCTGCTTTCCAATGGAAAATGAGACAGAGGATGAAGTCAAAGAGGATCACCCGCATGTAGGACTAGAACCCAGATGCCTCACTCCTGACTCCATGCTCTTTCCTTTTCACCACGTGGCCTATACATACATACTATGGGATGAGACTGGACATTTTTAAATAAATCCTCAGTCTGGCCTTCAAAATTACTTATGTATTTCTGATAGAAAGGAAGAGTTTCCCAGTGAATGATAATTCCAGAAGTTGGGTCTGGGTGCATCAGGGTTTGGCGTCATTCACAATGTCCCAAGGAATGAGCTGTCACACCATTGCTTTCTGGACTTTAGTGGCCAGCTGGCATTCCCTTGAGTCCTCCAAGGAAAAGGGAGACATAATTTCATTTTATTTTATTTTTAACAAAGAAGTCCAGTTGAGTGGCAGAAGAGATTCCTTGGACTGTATCTAAATGTTAGTCAACAGAGAGAGGAAAGACCCCTTTCCTTAGAGCTTTTCAAGGTGAACAAGTACAGCTGCTTGGATCGGGCTTCTCTCATCAGAACAGAAATGCACTCGACGGCCTTCAAGACCTTTTCAAACTCAGGGATTCTACAATCCCAGAGGAAGCCAGAAAATGGGGTAATAGTTAGTCAACAAATTCATTAAACATTCAACTTAAGAAATGTTCTTCTATTTGGCAGCCACATGTTATCCTTGGGCAACAACTGTCAAGACCAGAAATATAGAGGCACTCAATGTTTATCATCATTGGGTCCATTTTCCTCCTGTATCAGGTGAGGAGATGAAGTCTTGGGGAGAGGAAGGGACTTGCAGAGTAAATAGTTGAGCATATTTATAATTTTTCCTTAGACTTTCTATAAAATGGGACCAAACATAGAGGAGGGGCTGCAGGCCTGCCCTAATTTAGCCAGGCCATCTTCTCTCAAAGCCAAGACTCACCAGTACATGGATTCTCAAAGGCCCAGGGCCTGAACTGTTGCCTGAGATTATCAGGAGGACAAGTTAATTGAATGTCTGTGATCACAAACAGGTCATGGATCTTGGGTCCACTCCAGAACTATTGTGGGAGACAAATTCTTTTAACAGATTGTCCTCCAGGCATCAGGAAGTCCTTGAACAATCATGTTTTTTTGTGCTGCATGCACATGTGTCCAAGACCTGTGGGTGGTTTAGGGGAAAGTGCTAGCGACAGTATCCATGTCAATGTTAACTATATTTCATATTTGGTGTCTCATAGTTTTCAAACAAACTCTGTTTTCCTTTACTCAGATATTTATTTTTGGGCTAGCAACAAGGTGAAAATTGCATTTCTCAGATGCACTGTTATTTTGGCATTATAACATTGTTCTCAGAAAGCTTTCATGTGCCACGAGGAATTAGTAATAAAAAAAAAAAGTGGCAAAGAATGTTTTGAATTGTGGTGACCCGTTAGGGCTAGAATATTAATTGACAACCACAAAGAAAGAAAGTCTTGGATACTATCTTTTAACTATTAGTTAGTATCACGCTTCATCAACGTTTGCTCCTAGTCATCACCATTATGTCAAGGTATTAATGGTAAACTGAAGTTTTTGATACATCATCGCATTTAAATAAAAATAATTTCATGCTTCCTTCAAAGAAAAATGAAGCCTACTCAGTCTTGGGATCCAATTGTCCAGTAGAATCCAGAGACTTTTCATTCCATCTTGTATCCTAGACAGCTATGAATTTTTCTAGATGTTAATAATAAATATGGGAATTTTATCTTAAAAGACAAAAACTTTAGAGGCCCAGTTTCCCCACTACATCTATAAAGGCTGTTGCATACACAAAGCTGTTTTAAAGTTGTCACATGTTGTTTGCTAAAGTTATTGTAATTTTTTTGCCTGCTTTGCCTCTTTTTGTACAGAAGTTTTGGGTGTGAAATGAAAATTAAAGTTTGGTACATATATTTAAAAATACACTGCTATTTTATGTGATGTTCAAGGTTGAATGGGTGATAAGCACATAATCATAAATACATGGTAAACATAGACATTTGCCAAACATCTGTTTTGGGGACTAGGAAACAACACCATCTGTCCTTCACCTCCCTATGCCTCAGTTTCTTCATATACAACATGAAATACTCAAAATGTACTGCTCTTGGTACCAGCTATATCTTACTCATTTCAGCAGAGACCCTTCATTATAAAAAGGCATAAAGT